AAACCGCCTTTTGCTCCCAATTTTCCTCTCGGATTAGAACTGCACTTACTGCGTGTTTTGAAACGGCTAAGTACAAAAACAGTTCTTCTCTAGGTTCAGGTGTTGAGAGGACTGGAGCCGTGGTCAGATACTTCTTTAGGTCGGCCAAGGCGGCCTCACATTCCTCAGTCCATAGGAAGTCTGTGGCCTTCTTTACCAGGTTGAAGAAAGGTTTACATTTGTCTGAGCTTCGGCTTATGAACTTGTTTAGGGCTGCGGCCCTTCCAGTAAGCATCTGAACTTGTTTTGCCGACGTCGGGCTTTTTAGCTCTAGGATGGCCTTGATTTGATCTGGGCTGGCCTCAATGCCCTTTCTTGTTACTAGGTATCCTAAAAATTTACCTGATCCAACTCCAAACGCGTACTTCGATGCGTTGAGTCAGAGCCGGTATGTTTTGAGTATCTTAAAGACCTCTTTTAGGTCGGCAAGATGACCCCTTGGATCCTTGGTCTTCACGACCATGTCGTCAATGTAGACTTCCACTGTTTGGCCAATTAGATTTTTGAACATCTTGGTTACCAACCTTTGGTAAGTTGCTCCTGCGTTTTTCAGCCCAAAAGGCATTACCTTGCAACAATACAGTCCTTTCGGGGTGATAAACGCTGTCTTTTCTTCGTCTGGAGGGTACATGGCTATCTGGTGGTATCCTCTGTAAGCATCTAGGAAGCTCATCATTCCATGTCCAGATGTGGCGTCTACCAACTGGTCAATCTTGGGTAGAGGAAAACAGTCTTTGGGACAAGCTTTGTTCAGGCTTGTAAAATCTACGCAGACCCGCCATTTACCATTCTTCTTCTTTACCACTACTGTGTTGGAGAGCCATGTCAAGTAATGAACTTCTCGGATGGCCCTGGCCTCCAGAAGTCTGTCCACTTCTTCTTCTACTGCATCGACGTGCATCAACGTCGGTCTTCTGGCTCGTTGAATCACAGGTTTTGCTGACCTGTCAATATTCAGTCTGTGGCAAGTGACCTCGGGGTAATGCCAGCCATTTCGTAAGGTGTCCAGGCGAACATCTCAATGTTGGCTCTTAAAAAAGTCTCCAACTCTTTTTCCTCTTCTTCGGCTAAGCCCGAGCCGAGAAGAAAGAAGCGTTCTTCGTCGCCATCCTGGACGAGGATTTTCTTTAGCGCCTCTTCACTCTTCTCGGCTGGTTCTTTGCCGACGTCTTCTAGGACTTCCACGTCCTCATCTTCAATTTCTGCCTCTTTTGGATCTCGAACGCTGCAAGTAGACTTCATTATTGCCATTGAGCAACTTTTTGCCTGCAGTTGATCTCCTCTGACTTCTTCAATCCAGTGCTCTGTTGGGAACCGCAGTAGTTGATGCAATGTTGAGGGAACTGCCCCCATTGCATGCAACCATGGCCTTCCCAAGATGATGTTATATGGTGAAGGTGTGTTAATCACCATGAATTCTGTCCTGATCTTCTTAGTGCCAGCTTGTACTTTCAAGCTTGTTGCGCCTAGTGGCCACGTCGGCGTTCCATTGAAGCCGACCATGGGGTTATTGGATTGTTCCAAGTCGTCAGGATGTAGGTCCAGCTCCTTGTAACATCTAACATACATGATGTCACAAGAGCTACCTTGATCAATCAAGATGCGTTTTACTTGGCACTCCTCAACCTGGAGGGATACTACTAAGGCATCATTATGTGGATGCTGGACCATCTCTAGGTCGGCTTCAGTAAATGCTATCGTCGGTCCCTGGCATTCTTCAGGCCGAGGTCTTTTGTGTCCGACCTGGTTTATGTGCTGTAGGTGTTTTACCCTCTGAGTCTCCCCTCGTATGTCGTTTTCGTTCACCTTTGAGTGAATTACATTGACCAGCCGTGGTCCTCCTAACTGTGATTGCTGAGCTGGGGGAGGCGAAGCTGCTGGTGCTTGAGGCAATCTTGCCTGTTCTTCTCTAGTTCTGGCCTCATCAACAAGGTCCCTCAGATGTCCTTGCCTTACCAAGTCTTCTAAGTATGCTTTTAGGGCTCTGCAGCCCCGAGTTGGGTGCCCTTCTTCATTGTGGTAAGCACAACGCCTACTGACGTTTCTTCCTATGAATTTCCTTAGTGTTCTTGTCGGACCTCTGAAATATAGCTGGTTTCGTATTTGATCCAAGACTTTGTGGATCGGGACTCGGAATATAGTCGTTACTGCCTGTTTAGCCCTCAATTCCGTTTCTTGTTTGGTTGGTCCATTGTTGCCTTGGCTTCATTTCGGCGAGCCGTTTACTTTCTCCTGCTTTGTTTTTTTATTTCCCGACGTATCCTTCTCGGCTCTGGCGTACTTCTCTATTCTCGCCATGAGTTCTTCCATGCTTTTTGGCAATGTCTTTGCCAAAGATTTCCATAGTGGCCAGTCATCTTTCAGGCCGTTCTTGAAGGATATGACCGCCACCTCTTGGTTGCAATCAGGTATTCGATTGAACACATCGTAGTACCTTTTTGCGTAGGCCCTAAGGCCTTCATCCTTGGTGATCTTTAAAGCCATCAGTGCGTCGACCCTCAAGGGTTGTAGTTTATTTGTCACAAACCTGGCCACAAACATCTCGGCCAGGCCTTCCCAAGTTTTTACGCTTCCCTTCGGTAGTTTATGGAACCAATCTGATGCAATTTTCCCAAAGGACGAGGGGAATACTTTGCAGAGCAACGGCTCGTTCCCACTATATAATGCCATTGAATTCAGGTATAGCCCGACGTGGAAGTTGGGATCTGACTTACCATCATATATTTGGAACCTCGGCATACTGAATCTTTTTGGTGCTTGAAATTTGTCCAGTTCCACCGAGAATGGTGTCTTCGGCTTAACCGGGGAAGTTACCTTGGCTTCAGCATTCTGTTGCTTCCTTTTGAGGTAATCTCTCAAGTCTTCTTTACTCCTCCCTGGAGCTCGGCTATCTCTGGACTTCAATCTCTTCGGCACACTACTTTCGGCCTCGTGGTGGGCTCGTTTTGATCTCTCTTTATGTGTTGTGTCAAAGTAGAGTGTCTGCCCTTGAACATGCCGATGTTCTTTGGGCTCTGGATCCTTTATGTGATACGTTCTTCGGGACTCCTCTCGTCTCGGCTCTTCTCGTCCGCCTTCCCTGGAAGGTCGGTGAGAGTGCCTTCCGCTCCTGGTGTGCTGAGGGACTTCGGGGATTGCTCTTCTTCCCATCTTCTGTGTATTAATTGCGCGCATCGGCGTATCCTACAGTGGGTATGGTGGCTGCATGACATTATTTTGCATCATGAAGTTGACGACCGACTGAAGGTCTGCCAACTTGTTTGCCAATTCTTTTACTTCCTCATCCCTCCGTAGGCACCTATCCCTTCACACTTGAAGGTTATCTTCGTTATAGTACTTGCCTTGTTCTGTCCTTTTCGAAGTGTCGCCCTTCTGGCCGACGTCTTTCGCGCCGTGGCCCTGGTCATGAGTTTCTGCATTGTGGTTGTCTCCTTCAATGTCAAGGTCAATTGGTTGCCACTCCCAGCAGGAGTGTCGCCCCCAACGTTTTCCTTCTGTCCGTTACTGGCCATCTATTCTTCTAAGTTCCCACAGACGGCGCCAAATTGTGTGAGTGATTTTCTGACCACACTGCCCGTCTAGTAATCAGCTGGAGAGCACTGACAGAATAGATAGCTTCAGCTAACCTGTAACAGAAAGAAAAAGCTCCGGCGGTGGCTCTTCCACCCGGGAACACTCCGACGATCAAGTTAGTATATCTCTCAAAGATAATCAAGTGCTAAACTTACTGCTCAAAGCATAAAATTGTGTACCTTAGACCCACGGGGGAGCCTCTCTTTTGTAGCCAACTCAATCCTGATCCCACTAGAAGCCTGACTTCTATGGACTCCCATTCAGTGCTTACTTTGGATTTCTCAAGAGATAAAGATAAACTCCCTAAGATCTTTATCCTTATCTTAGCCAAGTCTCCTCTTTACTCTAGGACTCCTGTCCCTTATCTTTTATCCATTTATCTCGAATTCCGATATCTTCGGAGATAACCTCGGCCTTGCCGAGATAACCTTGGCGTCACAACCTGGACACGTGGCACCTCGACTGATACGTCGGGGTCACCTTGCCATATGTTGGTATTCAGAAAATACATCCCCACAGATCCAAAAAAATTTTGGTACTAAATTTGTTAGGTCAATATATCAATTTCCAGATTTTTATTATAGAAGAAGTTATTGATTAGTCTTAGGGCACTCCTCAAAAATATTATGATTGATGAAAGAAATAAGACTCACAATTTTGTAGTTGTTTGAGATGTGTATTTTAAAAAAGTAGAGAAAAAAAAGATGTATGTTTGGAATAATTTTTTTAATTTTTTACGAAAAAATGTGTAATAAAATATTATAGTAAAATTAAAATGATAATTTTATTTTTTTGACTTTTTGACTTTCAACTTTTTAAATAATTAAATTCAAAGGATAAAATTATTATTTTATCCTAATAACTTATTCCACAAATTACCGTCTAATCGTATAGACTTTATAAATTTTTTAGTAATTTTTTAATTCTTCGAGCTTATTCCAAATTAGCTTAATCTTAGGTGATTAGAGAGTATAAAAAATATAAATATTTGTGATTGGTGTCGAGCATCGTCATGTGGTGTCCGAGGAGCAGCAAACAAATATGGAAAATGCTAGAGAGCTCAAAATCTAGAGCTCTAGTGATGTGTCAAAGTAAAAAAAAAAAAATAAAAAATAAAATAAAGCACAAACATCACATCAGGATGGATACTATCTTTTTATTAGAGCCATTAGAGTTCTTATATTAGAGCTCTAAAGCATTTTTGAACAAATATTTCAAACGAAGACTTATCCTTTATGAAAAATTCTATGAATCTCAAACAAATTATTAAATCTTTTACCAAATCTCTCACATGGCCGTGGGCCCACACAAATCAATGTGTGTTAGTCCCACATGAGAGATTTGATAAAAAATTTGGTCATTTATTTGGACCCTAAGTATAACTCGTCCTTTATATCTATCCTGTTCCTTCCCGTCCTGTACCTCTCTGCGATCGAAATCTGGACTGGGCCCCTCTCTCTTGAAGTTGAAGTTGGAGTTGTGAGAGACATGGCGGAGAAAATGAAAGGCATGAGATTGGAGCAAAGGCACGGGAAGGCGAGGGTGAGAGTCGGCAGGGTTTGGAAGACAGAAGATGGCCGGCATTCATTTGCCGAGTGGTCCGTTAGCATCACTCTCCTCTCCGATTGCCTTCCTGCCTATATCCATGGCGACAACTCCTCCATCGTCGCCACCGATACCATGAAGAACACCGTAATCTCTCTCTCTGTAGCTATTTGTTGAGACTTGATTGTGTTGACTTATTTTGTTAAGATCTGTTTGGTTGGTGAGAAAATTGTGTCATGATTTATATTTGTCAAACTTGGATTTATTTTTAAAAACTACGTTTTACTGATCTTAATTAATACTACTTATAGCAAGGATACGAGTGTGAGATTTTTATTTATATCTATATTGTTAAAAGTAATTTAATTGTGCTCGTAGTCATCGAATGCCGTAATTTCTCTCTCTCTCTCTCTCTCTCTCATATCCGATTCTAATATATTTGTTTGATTGGAAAAGGTTGATAATTATATTGAATTATTCTGTTAAGATCTGTTTGGTTAATGAGAAAATTGTATACAAGTAAAAAGAAAATAGTGATTTATATTTTTGAACTTGTAAAAACTCCATTTTACTGATCTTAATACAACAAGATAGCGTGGTTGTTGCTGTAGTGATATGCAGCTATAGAACCGCGCTAGTAATTTTTTTTTTTGGTACTTTCCCTCAAAATTACAACTTTACCTTTAGTTGTCAAAACAATCATTTTAAACCCAATACACCAAATTTTTTTTCATATTTTAATATGCTAAACGCAGTTTTAAGTAATTATTAGGGTATAAAAGATCTAAAGACTGCTCTATCTTTGGTTGAAAACTTTGCAACACTAAAGAGAAAAGTTCATAAACTCTACCACTATACAGATACTACTCTCTTTTTCTTTTTTTTTTGGCACTTTTCCTCAAAATTACAACTTTACCTATAGTGGTCAAAACAATCATTTTAACCCCAATACACCAAAAAACAATTCATATTTTAATATGCTAAAAGAATTTTAAGTAATTAGGGTATAAAATCTAATCAAAATACATCAAATTAGTAAAACTACGAAGCAAAAAAATCTTCAAAATTTCAAAACACGTCCTAATCATACAATCTTTTAACTAGAGAAATGCTAGAGATCTACACCTTTTAAACTTACAAATGTGACAATAGAGTGGGGCCCAATATATTTGACAGCACAGGTAACAAATTAAATGTTGGCACTTACCATACCACATAATTGTGGGAGCTTTTTGGAGTTTCCAACAATTTTTCCTTTAAATATCATCCAAAATCTCAAGCCAAATATTCAAAAGAGCTCAAAATCATGAAAAAATTAATAGCAAGCAAGCAAGCAAGCAAATCATGCAGATAATTATGGATCCATCAAATACGTACTTAAACATAGGGTAAATAATAAACAAAACTCTACCATACTCCTGTATACAAAGAGAGTAGAAGAATCTGTACCAATGAGAAGATAAACCAAGGAAATGGATACAGGAGAGGGAGAGAGAAGCTCCAAGTAACACCGAACAAGATACTCAACAATGGCTTCCAAAGTCTCATGAAAACATTCAAGCTCTCTAAAATCACTCTAATAATTTTCCTAAATCTTTCAAACACACTATCAAAGCCTTGGATCTATGAAGAAAGATCAACATTAAGCTTCAAGGCTCCAACAATGGAGGTTTTGTGAATAAAATTAAGAGAGGGAAGAAAGGAGAAATGGCTATTTTTTGGGCTGGATGAGGCCGAGGAGGAAGAGGACGAGGCTTTGATTAGAAAATCAAAAGATGCTATTGATCAATTAGACTTAAGTATGGAATGATCCAAGGGTCCAAAATTGTTAAGACAAGATCATAACAATCTAAACCGTCCATCCAAATCGTCTTTTGTGTAATCATCATTAGCATATTCATTAGAGCAAATAATTCCTCTTTGATGACAAGGTCCAAAAGATTAGGGATTTGTAAGAAAGGTTTAGAGGCTAGAGCTTGCAAATAAGGAGAGCATCACATGTGATGAGAGAGAGTGTAAGAGTGCTGAATTTTCGCATTAGATGTGGTAGGTGGACTTTTGATTATTGCTTTGTGGCCCCAAATTTCAAATCTTCAAAATATCTCAAGCCCTTTTATGCAATTATAAAACTTTGTGGCCCTAAAGTGCAATTAATTATCATTAATCCTGATTGACAATAAAATATTAAAATTTAATAATATTAATACAGTTTAGTCAAATACTAGGCCTGAAGAGTCTCTTTCTAATCTCAAGCCAAAATGAAAAACCGTTTGTGCTTATCGTTTTAATAATCGACGAAGTTCAATTAATTAACAAGGGAATTAATAAGAGTTTAGGGCATCGATTATAATTTTAAATTATTTTTAGTCTTTAAATCACGTGGCCCGCACAATCCAAATATCAATCTATGTGAAATTGTCTCCGTCTCAAGTTCTGAACCGTCCATCCAAATCATCTTTTGTGTAATCATCATTAGCATATTCATTAGAGCAAATAATTCCTCTTTGATGGCAAGGTCCAAAAGATTAGGGATTTGTAAGAAAGGTTTAGAGGCTGTAGCTTGCAAATAAGGAGAGCATCACATGTGATGAGAGAGAGTGTAAGAGTGCTGAATTTTCGCATTAGATGTGGTAGGTGGACTTTTGATTATTGCTTTGTGGCCCCAAAATTCAAATCTTCAAAATATCTCAAGCCCTTTTATGCAATTAAAAAACTTTGTGGCCCTAAAGTGCAATTAATTATCATTAATCCTGATTAACAATAAAATATTAAAATTTAATAATATTAATACAGTTTGGTCAAATACTAGGCCTGAAGAGTCTCTTTCTAATCTCAAGCCCAAATGAAAAACCGTTTGTGCTTATCGTTTTAATAATCGACGAAGTTCAATTAATTAACAAGGGAATTAATAAGAGTTTAGGGCATCGATTATAATTTAAAATTATTTTTAGTCTTTATATCACGTGGCCCGCACAATCCAAATATCAATCTATGTGAAATTGTCTCCGTCTCAAGTTCTGATTCGTTTCAAGTTATGAAGCATGGACACTTCAAAATAGGTGGCGTAGCGGTATTAGATACAGGGACATGCCAGGGACATGAGGACATGTATGGGACACGTCAAATGGTGTGTTTCTTTAATTTTATCGTTTTTTTGCAGGGGACATGGTAGGGTCATGTTAGGGACATGCCAGGGACAAGGCAGGGACACAACAGGGATTTATTTATTTATTTATTTTGGGTAGGGGACACGCATGTTCAAATATGAATGATCTATTAATTTGTTTAAATGTAGTGGTTTATATATATATATATATAATTAATGTTAGTTTTTATTAATTTTGATTGTTTGGTAACATAATATTAATTTACATAGCAAATATATATAAAAAAAAAATTGCCTTGTCCCCACCGCCATGTCTCCATTTTTTTGAATAGGTTTGAAGCAATAAGAAATAATTAATTCTCAATTAATTATTACAAAAATTATATTTTCTTATTAAAAAAAAAAATATTCAGAGTCTCTACAGAAATGGTCCTACCATCTCTATACACGAAAAGTTGCCACTATGATATGATCATGATAAATGGAAGTCATATGATCACATGTAGATGCAATAGTAAGGAAGAGTGATATGATCACCATAAATAGAGATGTGAGGAGGAGGTGGAGGAGAGGATCTAAACTGACATGAGATGTAGTAGTAAAAAATGATATGAATTTTTATTGCATCTAACTAAGCATCTAGTCTTTGATAGAGTGGAATGGTGAAAAAGTTTTCATGTAACTGACCCCACATTAGTTTTGTTTGGTCTGGTTTGTTATATACGGTACCTGTTCGTAGTGTTCTTAGAAGATAATTTCTTTTGATGCCTGGAAATGTAATCCACTAGCATTTTAGCTGTCTTAAATGACTTATTACTGTGCTACTATACATAGCATATGGTAGTGCAAGAAACCAAAACAAATATTTGGTTATTAACGTGTGCTCTTTGTTTGGATATGTAGGTTTTAGAACTACAATTAGAGTTAACATTAGTACACTTGTAATACCTAAGAAATGGAACAACAGTGAGTGGCTGCAAAAATGTTTGTAGCAGCTTCCTGAGATATAGGGGGAAATGCTTAAGGGTGAAAACAAAGTAGTAAGCAGCAACTTTCTTTGCACTCAGTAATTGTGAAACATCTTTCAGATTTAAATTTAGGTTGGCAATAATACAATTTGGGCTACTAGCCTACTATGCTAGATATCCCAAAGCAATGTTATTATTATTTCACATCTTGTCATCTATGGTATCTCTTTCATCTGTCATTTCCTTGCTTTTCTCCATTTCATATATAATGCATTTTCTGGATTGTAATGCAGGTATATGTTAAAGCAAAGGAATGTTCAGAACAGATTTCAATGGAGGACTTTGCAATTGGACTTGGCAAGCACTTTACATCCTTCTATGAGCAGGTATATACCATCATAAACTAGTTTCACTATAGTCGTTTCACTATAGTCGTTGAATTACATGACTTTTCTCAAATAAAATTTGAAGTTGATAGTTCGTTTTGTGCATTGGTGTCTCCAACATGTGTTAAGGTTAAGGAAGCCAAAATGGTTTGTGGTTCCCTGCCTCTAGTCAGCTAAAGAGGTTGATGTGATCATAATGGCCGTTTCAATTTAAATGGTCTTTTTGAAGTTGTTGATCCAGCTCAGTGTTATTTTTTCAAAATATTTTTTTCTCATAGCATGAAGTTTTTTTAATAGAATTTTATTTGCATAAAATCTCATGCCAAAATTTTCTTTTATTTTAACAGAAATTGTTTTCATGATGACTAACTGATTTTATAATGTTTTGGTGCCAAATTGTTTCTGTAATTCTAATTTTTCAGAACTTTATTTCCCCTAGGAGCAAGTGTTGTGGATACGAGGTAGTACGCCTTTAAATCCACAGACCTATTCTAACCCTTTTCCAACTATTAGGCATAGTACCTCTCTTCTATCTTTTAAAACCTCAAACTTGCTTCCAGGTGATGTTCTGATATGTTCGAGTGCTGTCACGTGTCACAGGTGGTGTATGACCCTCATATCTCTTCGGCTAGGGTTAAACTGACAGTTTATCTTGATTACAGTTTATTAAAATTCTCGTTATCATAAGTTGAACCCTGTTGACATCTTGTTTCTCTTATCAATTTTTGTGCAATGAACCAAGCTAAGCTTTACACTAGGGTGTTTAATATTTTTACGCCAGCTATTCTGCCTCTGTCCAATCCATGTTAGAGCTGTAACTATGTTGAGCTAATGTTTCCCAAGCTTGGTTTGGTCAGCGTTTGGGCTTGAAATTTTTTCTGGTACAATAAGGACTTTTTTTGTGGGTTTTTTTTGTTGGGGGGAGTTCTGAGACAATGAACGTTGTAAAGAGCTAGAATTGCCTGCTAGACTAGCTAGTTCGATGTTTTTGCTAGATGCTCTGTTGATTTTTCAATTGTGATAGTGTAAGAAATAATGTATAGAGAAAGAGAGAGAATAAATTGTATGTATTATTATTGCTTGATGTAATGTTATATCAATTACAATGATTCATGATTCCTATATATAGAAGAGGGTGAGTGTGTAGTAGGTAAGGAGTAGGTGAAGTGGAGGTGGTAGTGGTGTAGTGGGTTAGGTGTATAGAGAAAGAGAGAGAATAAATTGTATGTATTATTATTGCTTGATGTAATGTTATATCAATTACAATGATTCATGATTCCTATATATAGAAGAGGGTGAGTGTGTAGTAGGTAAGGAGTAGGTGAAGTGGAGGTGGTAGTGGTGTAGTGGGTTAGGCTTAGTGGAGTAGGTTTAAGTGGGTGAAGTAGGTGATAGGTTTAGTGGAGTAGGTGAGGTGGTAGTGATGTAGTGGGTTAGGTTTAGTGGAGTAGGTGAGGTGGTAGTGATGTAGTGGGTTAGGTTTAGTGGAGTAGGTGAGGTGGTAGTGATGTAGTGGGTTAGGTTTAGTGGAGTAGGTGAGGTGGTAGTGGTGTAGTGGATTAGGTTTAGTGGAGTAGGTGAGGTGATAGTGGTGTAGTGGGTTAGGTTTAGTGGAGTAGGTTTAAGTGGGTGAAGTAGGTGGAGAGTAGGTGGATTTTAACAGCTTTTGGTTCTATTGGCTTGCAAGTCAAAAGTAGTATTGCTTATTTTTATGACGTCTTAGATGTTTTCGTAACTAGGAATTACATTTATTTTAGATGTTCATATCAACGACCTTTTTGGTAGGCTAGGAGTTTAAGGATGGAGAAGTCCAAATTTCTGGATAAAAGTTGAAGCTCAGATAGTTGTCTTTTCAACTCTTCCAGTAACATTCGTGGTCTCAAATGTTGTCCTTGTTTATTATGTCTTAAATACCTGGACAACCACTGTGTCTGCGGTAGATTCTTTGAGAATCCTTTATTTATTTTATTTTATTAAAACAAAAAAAAAAGCAGTCATGGACAGTGAAAAACATGTTGATGCCAAAAATGGTGCAAAACTGTCAGAAAACGAGATAGTTAAATTGATTCAGTAATCACATGTTCAGTCTACTTTATAAACACGAGGGTTCCTAAGATATTGATAGTATCTGTAATTTATTTTCACAGTATTTTATCATTTGAGGATATGTTTTATCTTCATTCCTTTTCTGTAGGTTACTGCCGCCATCATCAAGATAGTGGAAAAGCCATGGGAGCGCATGTATATAGATGGTCAATCACACGAGCATGGTTAGTGTTTTCATCATTCAAAGGCACAAGTAGAGAATAATTCTTGATATGAGATCTTTATGAGTCCCTTGTTAATCATTGATATCTATGCAGATTATCTCTCGCTCGTTTTGAAAAGGCTACATGCTTGATTTGTAGTAATCTAGAATTTTCCTGTCTTTTAGTGATAATCCAAAATTGTCGTTTTTTGAAATTTGGGCATTTTTACAAAACTTATCCATGCTCTCTGTTTTTCTCTTATGTTTAAGGTTTTAAACTTGGATCTGAGAAGCACACGACAGAAGTTACAGTTAAGAAATCTGGTGCTCTGCTGGTGACTTCTGGCATTGAAGGATTGGCAGTGCTGAAGACTACCAAGGTAAGCTAATTTAGAATTCTTATTATTATTCATTATGTATGTAACTTGATCAGACTGAATATCTTCATTATTTTGGTTTTTGGCTTGACTGGGAAAACCCCATGGTAATTATTGAAAGCCTTTGTATATGTTACTTAATCTGCATCATTCAAGGGTAACTATTATCTGTATTCACAATTATAAATTGTTGGTTGATGTTCTCAATGGCAAATGGGTACCTTCTTGGAGTGTGGTTACTCATTTTAGTTCCCTATTTGTTTCTTGGCGTCTTAGCATAGGATTTTGGTACTAGAATTATGCTTTAAAGGGCAATACCAAGCTAGGAAGGATAGTGGGTGGTCTAGGACGAGATTGTGGAACCTAAACGGGGATAAACTAGAAATATTTAAGAATAGAATGGATAACAAAGGTACTTGGGACTTGGAAGATGATGCTAACATTATGTGGAACTCGATGGCCAATTGTATGATGAGAATCTCAAGGGAAGTTTTTTGAAGAGTCGAAAGGAAAGTACCCAATTCTAGGGAAACTTGGTGGTGGAGGGAAGATGTTCAAGTAGTAGCTAAGGTGAAAAAGGAGTGCTTGAAAAGTGATAGAATGATAGAATTAAGAAAAACTTTAAGAGCTATAGATTGGCTAATAAGGAGGTTAAGAAAGTAGTGAGAGGTTAAGTTGAAAGCTTATGATGACCTATACACTAAACTAGATAGTAAGGAGGGAGAGAAGAGGGTATACAAACTTGCTAAGATAAGAGAGAGGAAGACGAGATTTTAATCAAGTTAAGTGCATCAAAAGTGAGGATTCTAAGGTATTGGTGAAGGATGAAGAGATTAAGGAGAGGTGGAAAAACTATTTTGAGCAACTGTTAAATGAGGAACATGGAGGTACGTTAATAGGGGAGGAAATAGCCAGTAATAAGAAAAACTAAGACTATAGGTTCTATCGCAGGATTAGGAATTTTGAAGTGAAGATTGCACTTAAGAAGATGAAATCGAATAACGTTTTAGGACCTGATGATATTCCTATTGAAGTTTGGAAGTGTTTGGGTAAGAAGGGGGTTACTTGGTTGACTAGGTTGTTTAGTAAGATTTTGTTGACTAGGAACATGTCAGATGAGTGGAGGAAGAGTATTTTAGTGCCAATCTATAAGAATAAAGGAGATGTCTAGAATTGTAACAACTATAGAGGAATTAAGTTAATGTGTCATATAATGAAAGTGTGGGAGAGGGTGATATAACGTCGATTGCGAGATATAACAGAGGTGTTAGAGAATTAATTTGAATTTATACCTGGTAGGTCAACAATGGAAGGTATATATCTTTTGAGGAAAGTAATAGAAAAGTATAGAGAAAAGAAAAGAGACATTCATATGGCGTTTATCGATCTTGAGAAAATATATGATAGAGTGCCTCGGGATATAATCTGGTGGGTGTTAGAGAAGAAAGGGATGACAAAATGTTATATTGATGTGATTAGGGACATGAATGAAAGGGTAAGGGGTTCATTTGGTTAGGTGGGAGACTGTTTCTCTTTCAAGGGCAAAAGGTGGCTTGGCTATAGGAAACATTGTTGCTAGGAATATTGCTTTCTTGGGCAAGTGGTTGTGGAGATTTTCTCTTGAAAGTGAATCGTTATGGTGTTCAGTTATTAAAAGCAAGTATGGAGTTCAATCCAATGGTAGGGATTCTAATGTGGTTAATAGAGGCAATTGTCGTTCATCGTGGAAATCCATTTCTCGTTTGTATCTTCTTGTGTCTAATTTTTTTTCATTTAGAGTGGGGAATGGGGAGAATGTTCGGTTTTAGGAGGATGTTTGGTTAGGGGATATTTCGTTTGCTAGATCTTTTCCCGTTCTTTACAGGTTGGCTCGTTCTCCAAATGTGTCAATAGCGTCTTTGGCTTGCTCTTCTATGGCACCTATCTCTTAGAATTTTGATCTCATTAGAAACTTGAATGATAGAGAGGCGGGGGAGTTGGTATCTTTGTTGGTAGTGCTTGAGGGGGTTTCTCTTTCTTCGTCTTGTGATAGTAAAGTGTGGAATCTTGTTTCTTCAGGGGTCTTTTCATGTAAACCTTTTTTTGATAAGATTATTGATAATCCCTCGATTCCCTTGTTCCCTTTTTTATAAGAGAATTTGGAAAGTGGGTGTCCCTCATAAAGTGAAGTTTTTCATGTGGTCTTTGGCTCAAAAGGGTGTTACAACTAATGATGTTTTCTAGAGGAGAAAGCCTAATCACTCTCTATGCCCTCAATGGTGTGTGATGTGCAAGAGAAATTTGGAGGTAGCGGGTCACCTTTTTCTTCATTGCTCGGTGGCTTCTGTATTATTGCAGCGTCTTTTCAGTTTATGTGATGTGCAGTGGGTTGCTCCACGGGAGTGTATGCATATGCTTATTATTAGGTTTGTCGGGTTTGGGAGTACCAAGAAAGCCAAAACAATGTGGATAAATATTGTTTTTTACTATTTTCTGGGTTATATGGTTAGAGAGAAATGCTCGAATCTTTGAAGGCAAGGAAGTAAGTGTAGAGGCTTTGTGGGATAGGACGGAATATTTGGCCTCATTTTGGGCATTTGTATCTCCTCCTTTTAAAGGAGTTACTTTGTTTTTGATCTCTACGGATTGGGCTGCTGTTTGCCATCCTTAGGGTTATGAGTTTTGCGATTTTGTTTTGCTTTTTCTTACTCTTCTTTTTCTTTGTTTGTATGAGGACTTCTTGTCCTTGTTCTCTTTTTTTTTGTAATAAAAAAATTTTGTTGCTCAAAAAAAAAAAAAAAAAAGAAAAAAATGAATTTTCAATTACTGTAGGGTTACACCAAGGATTTACCTTTAAGTCCTTATTTTTTTGCTTTAGTTATGGATGAGTTGACGAGAAATATTCAGAATGATGTGTCATGGTGTATGCTTTTTGTAGGTGATATTGTGTTAGTGGATGAGACTAAAAGAGTTAACACGAAGTTGGAGATTTGGAGAGAAGCACTTTGAATTTAAAGGATTTCGGATAAGCAGAATTAAGGCAGAATTAAGACAGAATACATGGAGTGTAAATTTAGTAATAGTAACAATGAAAGAAGAGAAGAAGTGAAGATTGAGAATCAAGAATTACCTAAGAGTGAATATTTCGTTATTTAGGGTCAATTATCACAACGGCAGGAGAGATTGATGCTGATGTGGTCCATAGAATTAAGGTGGAGTGGCTTAAGTGGCGAAATGCGTCTGGAGTATTGTGCGATAAACGAGTACCCACTAGACTAAAAGAAAAGTTTTATAGAACGACTATTAGACTAACGATGTTGTATAAGACGGAGTGTTGAGTAACCAAGAAATAACATATACATAAGATAAGTGTTGGTGAAATGAGGATGCTAAGGTGGATGTGTGGCAAGACTAGAAAATATAGAATTATGAATGAGTATATTTGAGAATGGGTAGGAGTAGCACCGATAGAAGATAAGTTGTGAGAGAATAGATTGAGATGGTTTGGTCATATTCAACGGAGACGAACAGAGGCAGTAGTGAAGAGATGCGATGCAGTGGCGGTAGGTGGAAGTGTTAGGGGATAGATTAGATCTAGATTGACGTTGGCTAGCGTAGTAAAGAGAGATATGAATATACTTAATTTGACTAACGAAATGGCCTTTGATAGTGCCGCGTGAAGAAGAAGGATTCATGTAGCCAATTCCATTTGATGGGACTTAAGGCTTTATTTGGTTTGGTATTTGTTATGGTGGAAAACATTTTCTGAAAAATATTTGTTGTATTTTTTAACGTTTGGTACAACTCTATTGTAGTCAACGGAAAACAATCTTATTTGGACAAAAAATGTTTCACTTTAGAATGGTAGAAAATGTTTTTCAGACTAAAGTCTTATTGCCTCCACTATCATAATCACCACTACCGTTGCCACCACCACCCTGCCATGCCACCACTGCTGCACGACCACCGCCCACCACCACCACCACCACCACCACCTTACCACTTCCTACCACCACCACTAATACAACTTACCAAACATAGGAAAACATGTTATACATAACATTTTATGGAAGATATGTTAGTTGCTGAATTCAGAGTTTATTTTTTGTGTTACAGTCAGGTTTTGAAGGATTCGTGAGGGACAAATACACAATTTTACCCGAAACACGGGAGAGGATGCTAGCAACAGAGGTGACTGCATCATGGAGGTATTTAAATCCTGAGGCTCTGCGGCACACCCTATTTGGTTTTCTTCTTATTATTTTAGGTTTTGTATTTGTATTTTGAGGAATTCAAAAGCATGTTTTGTGATAAGTACTGTGATGCAGGTACTCTTTTGAATATTTAGATAGGCATTCCTGCAAAGCCACTCTACTTTAATGACAGATACCTGAATGTGAAAAAAGTTTTGGTTGATACTTTCTTTGGTCCTCCAAAGGAGGGAGTATACAGCCCATCTGTTCAAAGCACTCTTTATCAAATGGCAGAGGCTGTTCTTGCAAGGTCTCTCCCTCCCTCCCTCTCTCTCTCTGTCTCTCTCTCAAAATGACAACATGGCTAGATGCATTCACTTGTTATGGTTCTGTACGTGGCCTTTGATGGTGAATGGAGATTGATTCTTGATTGTCATGTTTTCAGGTTTCCTGATATATCATCAATCCAATTAAAAATGCCGAATATCCATTTCCTGCCGATTAATCTATCAACCAAAGATAATCTTATTGTGAAGGTAGGATTTCCTTCCACATTTTCTGTTGATTTCACGGAAAACTTTTTGAGTCGTTTGAAATCCCGGGGATTAACTTGAGAGACTACCATTAAAACAAGCAAACAAATATTTTGACTTATTCAATTCTTATGTTATGCTGCCCTTGGTTGAGGCTGTTAAGAGCATATATTCTTTTGATTACATAGCCAGTAATAAGGGGTGAGAATGCTGTGGTGTGGTTCTTACTTGGGAAGATCAGATTCATTAATCAAAGGGGTCTATGGGTGCAATGCAGTTAACTAGCGAATGTTTATATGATTTTGTGATTGTTGATGCCATTTTTTTTAATATGATTTTGCAGTTTGAAGATGATGTTTATTTACCAACAGATGAACCACATGGATCAATTGAAGCGAGCTTGAGCCGCATCTTGTCCAAGATGTAAAGCTGCTGCTAAGTAGTGTTTTCAGTTGTCTTTTTTTCTGCTATGTCCTCAAAAGGGTTCCATTAGTATACTTGGTGGAATCTAGTGTATCTTAGCCAAACCCTTCGCATGATGGCTTGACATGTGGTTGTATGGTCTGGAGATGCTTACTTGTCTTGCAATGTGTATGTAAATTATGTTGTTTAAATAATCAGCTTCTTGCTGACGATTGTGTATTTTAGAGTCATCTCAGTCTTTCATGATGGTTGGTGTTTTCTTTCTGGCGAATCTATGTCTTTCTTTTCCTCCTAAAATTATAAGTTTGGGGAGAAGCTTTTAGATAATAAAAGTAAATAGGCAAATTTAGGTGGACAGTTCCTCAGCATAATGCATGAAGTCCATAACGAGTTTTTAACGGTTATTTTTGGCATTGCCAAAAGAGACCTTATTAGCGTTCACAGTTTATTATGTTTGCACTATGAAGTCCATCTGATTAGCCAAGCAAAAGTTTATAAGCGATTTTGGCCCTCTTTATTTTTAACTTATGAAACCAAATGATCGTAGGGCACAGTCGTAGAAATCCAAATCAAATGATTGGCTACGAGGCTATGAGGCCTCCTCAACTGTCCCGATTTCTCACTCTGGCAAGAGTTTCATGGTGAAGACTAAAGACAGCTTGTCTTCATTATTGAACAATGTCGGTGTGGTGCCTAGGGCTTCGGTTGATATGTGATGTCAAGTTGACATTGTACCATCAAATTCATGTTTATAGAATAGAGAGAATGGCCTAAAAACGAAAATGTTTGAAGTTTTTAACAATATCAATTGGATGTTATATGATGTTAGGAAATTGACAATTTTTAATCAGGGTCGATGAGATATAAAATAGCAAATAAGAAATATAAAATGAGTTGAATTAATCAAATACAAAAAAAAATACTAAGATATACGTTATTCAATAAGATGATATTATATTCACTGTAGTTTCACTACTATATAAATATAGAAATTAGGATAACGTCAGAGATGGAGTTATAGAGGGCCTCCCAAGTTTTGGAAAATTACATTTGCACCTCTATGTTTTATGATATTTGTAAAATATATAATAAGAATGTTCATTTTTTGAAAATAATTTTTCTAAATCTTTATTTTATTGATTTTTCACAATATATGATGAGATGTTCTTTAACTATTTGGCATGTTAAATAGCATCAATATAATCTAATCACTTTATTTATGAAAAATGCTACGAACTATGAAAATTTATCTTGAAAGTTATTTTTAAAATGAAGTGAATGGTATAGAATTAAGTTGGTGGGATGTGTGTTATATTACGATTTTAGTGCATAGATGCACTACTTTTCTTGAGCACTTTTTGGATAATTTTTTTTTTTTTCTGTGTATGTATCATTGTTGTTATTTATAAAATATGTGTATGCCACATTATTATTATTATTTTTAAATCAAAAAGGTATGTATACTGTTTATTTACTTAATATTATCAACTAACAAAATGATTTCATTATTGGTTCAAAACTTGAGAAATTATTATTTTTTCTTTTCGTAAATTACTTTTTTCATTCATATGTAAAATATTATCTTGTTATAGTAATGTACCGATACAAAAAAAATACTTGGCCCCCTTAAGTATAATTTCTAGTTCCGCCCTGGACAATGTAGAAGCAAACAGAAATTACCAAAGTATTCATAAATTTGGTTTTGATTGATTTTCTAAAATTTAAGTTTTTTATTTTTCGTATTTTTAATGATTTTTTTTGATATTTAAGCAAATTTTTTTTTTTGATGCACCTAACGTAGATATATATAAAGGTGGCGTTTGTTTGGAATGATTCAAGCATGAGATATGACTAATAGTCCATCCGAATTAATAATCTGTTGTTTAATTCAAAATTTTTGCACCAGACTAATAGTCCATCCGAACTATGAATCCCAAATCTATGAATTGTTCTATCCTATGGGGGTGGGATACAATTAATAGGATAACTCATCCCTTGGGATTAGATAGTGAAATTACATTTTTGACCATCTATTGTTTAATATCTTTTTAAAAATAAAATTTATTTATTAAATTATTCATACTTTATTAAATTATTTATATTTTTACTTAATAAAATTTATTTATTAAATTATTCATACTTTATTAAATTATTTATTTTAATAATATGGTATTAATTATACTTAGTAAAGTAAAGTAAAATTTAAAAATTTCAACTACAAATTAAAATAAATTTATGCAATTTTTATTAATATTCTATTTATTTAATTTTTTAAAAGTTCTAGTAAAAAAATAAAATAAAATTTATATTTCAGATTTAATATTCCTATTATTTAAAAAATAATTTAAAAGAGCAAAATAGTTTTTTAAACATTTATCATTGTCCATAATATCCCAAACAAACATAGGATTCAATAGAATAGTTCAATCTAGACATCTAATCCCATAACCAAACAAACAGGATACAAATGCAATCCAACCAAATAGTCCGGCGATAATGTATTCTATGACTAACTGTCCTGTCCTTTACCCAGTCCGTCCAAACAAACGCGCTCAAAGTGTCACCTTATCGAGACCCATCTCAACGGAATAGTCTTATGTGACTGGGTGAGTGGTTTGAAAGCTGACATTGCGTTTTGAAACCACAAAACAATTACTCAAGTTATTACTATGAGCAATGCAGGTTCAATCTTTAGAGTAAAAGCTGTGCTTAAAATGTTCTACCATGCTCTAAATTTAGGGGTCTGAATTTAGAGCCCTCCCTCCCTATGCAACGCCATGTTTGGTGATCAATTCTTCTCAAAACACACAATCCATTTGATCTAGTTATTAGTCACAAACAAAAATGATTGTCAAAATATGTAACTATTTTGATGACCTTGCCAGATGGGTCGAGGTAGAGGTGGTATGTCATAAGGTCACTATCAACCATGATAGATTCTTTAATGTAAAGGATATATATGTAAATTTTATGTATTTTGTTTCAGTATCTGTCCTCCATTATTTTTAAGCTCCGGGACTGACATTGAAGAAATAGTCCAATTTCCTTAATCTCATCAGCACAAGATGAAACAACTGTAAAGTTAAAGCACTGTCTGCGTCTCACCATAGTTGGTAGAGTTTATAGCACTAAAGGAGTTTATTTATTTATATTCAATGAAAAGGAAGAGACTGTAACTCTATCTTTTGCCCAAAAGTAAACTGTAGAATAATGTTGTACAAACATAAATTTCTTGCAGGATGTTGTTAAAAATATATACATACATATATATACATATATATATATATATATATATATAGAATCATTCTGAATGAGGCTTCCGTACAAAATTTCTGTACGCTAAGTATTTTTCACAGAAAAATTATGATTAAAAAAAAGGCAGGCTAAGTTTTTTCTGACAGTGGTGACCATGTTGTGTTCACTTTAGTGTTATATCTAATTGGAATCAACATAAAGAGGGGGATGAGCACATGAGCAGCATAGTTGGGAAACTTATATAATTATGAGCAATCCAGGTTCAATCTTCAGGGTAGAAACTTTTGAATTGACTTCAGATATTTTCATGCATACAATTATTTCTACCTAAATCACAAGAGAGACCTATCCTACGGAGCTAAATGAGGCATTTTCAATTAATTGACCATTCCAAGCAAGCTATTTCATTTTGAATCAAATTGAGTGCCACTCAGGCTTGATTTGTGCCTGGCATACATGGTTTGAAACCTAATCTAAATTATCAATCTAGATGCCAAGGAAAAAGAGAGGAGATTTAAAGGTAAGGTATGGCCTAGTTATATTGTCATTCATTATGCAATCAAACATCAATTCTTCTGGTGTTGGTAAAATCCTACTAGCCCAAATGTAGCAAAGCAAAACACAATTTCAAAACACTTATTTCATTGTTGAGTTTTCTAATCAGAATTTAAGAATTTCCCTAGTCTTATGGTCGTGGAATTTTTAAGACCCATTTGGTTTCTGGGACTTTTTAGTTCCATTCCAAGGGTTTTTAAAATCCCAAACTATATGAATTGTGTCTTCAGATTTTAGGGAAGACCAACAAACCAACAAGTCATTCGTAACTCGTATAAATTTTTAACTAACTATAAATTTGACTTGTCTAAATGATAACCTCTCTACGATTCTCTCTGTGTTTAACACTAACCCTACTACCAAAGAATAACATTCTTGAATTATTCCACTTTCCCAAATGAAACCAAGACCATTCATCAAACACATGGCAGCCCATTTCAAAAATCACCTTGCATTAACAAAACCTCATCCCAACTCCCTTAAAACAGATATCTACAAATTTTGTTTTCCCAAAATGCTCTGTTTGGAACCAACTCCATACTCTATCTCAAGGATTTAAAAATTCCCAACTATGCCTAATATCATAAACATCCTCAATGTACTTCCAAAGTCACTCTTATGGATATAATAGTTGTGGGAGCTGAGTAAAATAAATTGCTAATCGGCAAACAAGCCAGATCCAAACCCATCTTTGGTTGGCCAAATTCAGCTAAAGCCCACTGGGCTCCAACAAGTCATTGCCGAGTAAAATGCAAATGGACTGAAGAGTATGCTGAGTTAAGGATATCTAGGTCGTGTGCTTGAGCTAAGTATCACTACAAGAAAAGTGAGCTTAAAACACGGAAGCATTTGCGACGGCACACTTGTTGTCTCAAAAATCACAACTTGTCGTCGCGAAAAAGGTAAGTTTTTGCGACGGCACTATTTACTGTTGCAGAAAAATAGAGTATTTGTGACAACAGAAAATGTTGTAGTAAAAAAGCAGAGTATTTGCGACGGCAGAAATTACTGTCGCAAAAAAGGAGACTATTTGCAACGGCAGATATTGTGTCATGAAAAAACTATGATCATGAATGCTTTAAAGCATATCATATACATAATGTGACGGCTTATACAAAAATATACTTATATAGGAACTTTTCTCAAAATCATTCATTTCGTTCAACAACATAAGCAATTTACTTTTATTTCTTCTTATTACATTTTTTTCCAAAATTCATATGACAGTAACAAATTTCTAAAAAAACAATTTCACAAGCCCTTTATGTTTTCTCCCACCTTCCAAGCTTACACCTGATTTGCCTTTTCGAAACATGTTCACAAGTATCCGATGTCTTCACATTATTCACAATCTCAATACAGTACTTACGTTTGTTTCCAACACATTCATGTCTGTACACATATACCTCTAGTACAAAAAGAAAACAAGTAACTAT